ATGTTTTTTTACTGTCAGGTCTCCTCCGCACCAAAAAAACTGTACCCAGTTAACGCTCCTGGAGTCCTAGGGTCTTGCGAACACTTCAAATCGCGCAAAAACGTTAGTAAAGAACTTGAATCCCCCTGTTCATACGAAGTCGTTAAGGAGAGGTACATTCGACTTCTTCAATATTTTTTAAAGATTCGGAGATCGTTTAACGGTTGTAGCCTCTCAGAAACTACGGATTCTTTTTTTGACGGGATGCGATACACTCCCTCCCAATCTAAATCCAAAGCTTTACCGACTGTTGGAGGCTATAGCTAAGTACGTCTTAATTATAATTTTTGACTTTTCAACGAATACACTTTAGCAGTAACTTTTGCACCCCTAAGTCCCAGTGTATTTAGGGTTTCCCTTAGCTTGACAATATTCATGTTTCAGTGGTATTTCAGCAATTTTCTCAATACGAATTGCAGTTGCCTGATTTGCAGCCTGATTTCCTTTTATCAGGCCTGCAGGCTATCCCGGAGCAAGTCTAGTTATTTTGTTATCTCGTACTACTTCCCTTCCCCCCTAAGAGTTACTTCATCGAGTAATGCAAAAGTATCCCAATATTTACTCATTGTTTTTTTTAAAAGATCTAGGTACAATGGCGTACCTATTTCCGGAACCGAGGGCCTTCTCAATATGGGCGAGTCATCGTCGACAATTTTCTACTTCCGCAAAGTCCTTAGGTCTAAAAAAATAGTCATGTCGCAAGTAAGCCTTTTTATAATTATTAATTCTCGTTTAAAGCCATATATAGCTCGTGATTCTGGCAAGCAAAAACTTCGACGCACGACCTTGTTGCATTGTTTTCGTTACTTCCGAGCTCTCCCATATCCGCTTGCTTTACTCCTCGAAAAGCTATCCAACGCGCTGGAGGAAAGTCCCACTAAAATGATGCTCCCACATACAATCCGATACGTATGTTTAATTTTGCCTTCCATATCTTCAGTATTTAGCTTTTTTGACAAGAAAGCTTTCGCGTTTTCCATCCGATAAGTACTATACACACTCATATTTCGGGCGCCTCTTTTTATGCTTTTTAATTTAAGATACGCGAAGGCTTGGACACTAAAATAAGTTGATGTATTCTTTCCTACCTCCTTCATCCCACACTTCCTTACTTCCTTTAATCCCTTAGCTCTCAACGCATACCTTTCCAATGTGATTTGCTTAGCTGTTTCTTTCCTAAGCAATATTCCGTCTTTGATCCTTAAACGGTACGCATTACAAGGGCTCTGTCAGTGCCTGTATTCCACGAATAGCATTCTATGTCGTAATGCCTGAACATTAATTTTTCAGTCAACATTTTAGTTATTTAGAATCAATCACTCAGTTAATTTGGAATTTGTTTTTGGCTATCTGGGCATACACATATACAATAGGGCCTAAAATTCGTGTAACATGCCCACATGCGAAATATTAATACTGTCTCGCAAATCGGCATTGAGTACTGTTGTAATGCTGATTATCATGTAGTCCATTCTGAAGTCATTTCAGTCACGATAGGATGCCAGCTTTTAGCGAGCTTCGTTCTGACCGCTAACAAGAAGTATGTTTTGTAAAAAAATGACTACTGAAGTAGTATTAATTTTTATCATCGATTTTGACTGCCTTTATAAATTCAAATATATTTTATGGAAAACACGCACGAAAAAATATTTCTTGTATTCGTTTGGTAGGCAATTACGCCTTTTTTAAAGTTTATACTCAAAGAAAGGTTATCTTTCGGTTAAAAAAGGTTTCTAAATTGCCGAATAATTTTTAAATCTACTGACTGTTACACCTAAATTCAAAGTTTGCAAACTGTGCGCCGTGCACATTTTGTTTAAGAAAAAGTACGTTTTCGCCTACGGTTTGAGGTAGAAATCACATACTTCTCATGAAATATTGCAATATATGTGGATAATGCTGTATACATTATAGGCAACATTAATAAATTGACGGATGTGATGTATAACGAATAAACACCTCACAATCGTAAAAAGCTAAATATTAGAAACTTTTCTAAAACCAAAAGATACCCTTTCTTTAAGCATACAATTTAAAGAAGTCGTAACTTGCTCTTAAACGAGTACAAGAAACAATATTTCGCTTATGTTTTCCATAAAATATGAATTCGTAAAAGCAGTCAATATCAATGATAAAAAGGCATACTATTTATATAGCCGCTTTTTGCAGTGCATGTGTTTTGTTAGCGGTTAGAAGGAAGCCCGTTAAAAAGCGGCGTCCTATCGTGACTGAAATGACTTCAGAATAGACTATATGATAATTAGTATTACAACCTTACTCAAAGCCGATTAGCAAGATAGTATCAATCTTTCGCATATGTCGGTATGTTACACGAATTTTAGGCCGTACTCTTCTTTATCCGACTCCAACTTTATCCCGCTTTACTGTTGCTAAACCTCTGCCTTACAACCCATCTAATTCGCATAATTTTTGAATTGAAAACAAATTACGGCTTACATTAATTCGTTATACTAAAGGGAACAAAGAAGGGCAGTCTCTGTACCGTTCTTTGTGGTTTGAATTTAGAGATTCCACATTGGTAGACGCTCGTATGCCCGGCTTATCAAGTTTGGAGAGGAAGAAGGTTGCCTCAAGGTTCTATCTGTCCCCTTCAATACCGCTTGCGGTCTCATTTGTGGCACAGAGGAGGAATCTGAAGTCACTGCCGATCTTCTCCTAAAAGAGGAGGCGGCTATGACTGCCGCCTCTAATGGAGGAGATTATACCGATTCCCGTCTTTTCGATAACCATGGTCGCCGTTACGTGCGCGAAGCAACTATAGTTCACCTGCAGCGTCCGTTTAATATGGAAACTTGGATGCAACATAACAAAGAGACTGCACGAGTGGACTACGAATCGGGTGACGAGGAAGACTTAAATTGTTCTTTATACGACGGCGACACTATCGATGGCGATCGTTCTCAAGCGGATGTGGGAGATGAGTTTGTTGCTAACGTGGTGAACAGTCCATTTTGTAAGTTTTGTTTCTCTCCTATCTGCTCTTTCATTGTGCCAATTGAAAGCATGCTACTAACGCGTATTTTTGCAATCCCACCAAATCACCCCAAAAACAATGAAGCAGGTCATAACGCTTAGCTCGTTATTTTAAAAAAGGTCCTGTTTCTTCGATATCCTTTGCTTTCATTTTGTCTAAATCAGAGAACTGCATTAATTCCACTACCCTCCAAAAGTGAATATGTAAAGCTTTCTATGCCCATGCAGAAGGGTCTGCCGGAGTATATTGCTTTAGCATGCACCAATGTGTGATGGAAATGACCGCTCTATTGTACTTTTGGTGTCCTCTCTCATTTGAGCACGCTATCCCTTTCAAGCATCGAGAGTATAAACCTTCAGCCTCTGCACTTTTTTAATAATTGTCGGTTA